TCAAAATATCTAAACATATTCTTCCTAACTTGTCTACATTAGGATGATGAATTTTGGTCATGAAACATACTTTAGGAGCTTCCATTGGGTTTTCTTCTGGAAGGAATGGTTTGAGTTTAAAAGTCCCTCCCTCAAAGGGGGACGCCTTTGGGGACCAGCAATGACCACATGAAAATAACGAGCATTGCTCTCATCTGCTTTAATGCCAGGAACTGGTTCCACCAGCAAACGCTGGGTTTCCTTGATAATCCTGCAGGGCAGCCTGGCCATCTCGTCAGATCCTGAGTTCAGCCTCTCCAGTTGTTTGTTTTTTAGTTATAAAATTTCCATTTGATTTTTTTGAAACCCTTATCTACTGAACCTTTATACTTTTTAATTGTTTCCAACACGTTCACCCTTACTTCAATGACATGAGAAACCAGCATAGATATCCCTAACATGGACCCTAAGATTAAAGAAACAAAAGGTATCTAGGGTTCAGGGTTAGGCTGGCATGGCAACTCCCTAAATGCCTGTGGCTGCAAAAACAAAAACAAAACAAGTAAACAAACAAAAAACCCAATGCTCTTGCTAAACTCCCTAACAGTGAGAGCTATCAGGCAACTTATCAGACCCTTCCTAACTCTGACCCAAACTACTACGATTCTGATTGAACAAAGAACCAGCCTTACAAACATTCTTTTTTGATAAGGAGCTGTAGACCTTAAGCCAGTTTCAGCCAGTTTATAGTAGAAACTGCATAAAAACTGTCTTGTGTCCTGTTGTTTGCCTTTTGACATAAACAGCCAAATTTCAGCCTTTTTTTTTTTTTTTTTTGAGACAAGAGTTTCACTATGCCACCCTTGGTAGGGTGCTGTGGCATCATAGCTCACAGCAACCTCAAACTCTTGGGCTTAAGCGATTCTCTTGCCTCAGCCTGCTGCAAAGCTAGGACCACAGGCACCCATCACAATGCCTGGCTATTTTTTTTGGTTGCAGTTGTCATTGTTGTTTAGCAGGTCCAGGCTGGGGGCTCGAACCCGCCAGCTTCTGTGTATGTGGCCAGTGCCCTATTCACTGAGCTATAGGCACTGAGCCCAAATTTCATCTCATTTTAATACTAAAACCCTGCCCCAAAGTGAACATGGGATGTGTGTTACTTATGTTTATTCATTGCACATGTTCCGGGGCTCCCCTTATAAATATGTATAGCTCCCCACACACAGGCACACACCTGATGAATATGTATGACTATTGTCTATTACAGACCCTGCCAGGCATAAAACCCAACCTGCCCTTTCCCTACTTGAAAAGAGAACACCTTTAATTCACACTGGAAACTATTTCTTCCAGGTTTGCCAACTGATATTGCCAATAAAGCACTCCTTTCTATGAGTTAGCCATTTGACATTTTTTACAGCATTGTTATAATAGATATTGAAAGTCTTTGTCTGATAATTCCAACATCTGAGTTATCTCAGGGTTGGTGATACTGATTGTCTTTTCCCCTTGAGAATTTATCAGACTTTCCTGGTTCCCTATCAGGTAACTTTGGATTGTATTTTGGACGTTTTTAATATTTTGAGACTCTGAGTCTTGTTTAAATGAAGAGAGAAAGTTGTTTTGTTTTGTTTTAACGAATAATTCACCAAGTTAGTTCAGACCACAAGTTCTAACCTTTTTCCTGTAGGTTGTAGTCTCAAAGTCAGTTCAGATTTAAAATCTCTTGAGTGCTGTTTGGAGCTCTCCCGCATGCGATACTCAGGGACCATTTGAGACCTGGGCAATGATCTACCTGATAGTTCAGTACTCAAAGCCGTTGGTATGTTGTTTAGGGTGAGATACACATCGGCGCAGCTCAAGGGTGAGCGTGGGTATTCATACACAATTTTATGGGATTCCTCTTTTGATTCTCTGCAATCTTCCCCATACTCTGGCTCCAAAGGTCCCTTTCCTGGTCTTCTGGCCAGAAAGTGGCGACTTGAGTTTCTACACTCTGAACTCTGCTGCACACTTCCTATGACTGGGTCTGGCCAACTGGGGGTTGGACAGAGAAAGAGAAAAGCAACAGGGATTCCCCTCATACTCTTCCTATGACTGGGAAGTGACTACAGGTCCTCTGGTCCAAGATTGGATTCCACTCTTTCACACGTGCTGTCCAGCTGCCACTTCTGCTGCTGCCACTATCATCACAGGGACGCAGTTTCAGGAAGGGGGCTTGTCTAGGGGCATGAGTGGGAGCGAAAGCAAAACAGAATTCCCCCTACTCTTGCCCTACTCTTGCTTCCCACTCCTTGGAGCACAAACAGAGAGCTTCTGTTGGATCTTGTTCTGTCTTTGCTTAGTACTTAGTTCAGGGCCTCATGTTGCCTTTGAGCTAGTAGATACAGGAGAACAAATAAATCACAGAAAATGTACTGTCCTATGGTTCCTACTTTGAGTTCTGGTTACCTTCTCCAGTTCACCTATTACCACTGCCTTTTCAGAGTCATCAGATGGCTTCCCTCTGAATTCTGTCTGGGGTTTTTAGTTACGTTCACTGGGAAACAGGGTAGAGTGTCTTTACTCCATCTCAACTGGTACTAGAACCCTAAATGGCTTTTTTTTTTTTCTTACTGCATTTTATTCCACTTGAGGGGAAGTTATACATTGTGTTTATATGCTTTGTTGCAGTGGTTTTTAGTGAGGGGCAATCCCCCTACCCCAAGGGACATTTAGCAATATCTGGAGACATTTTGGCCTGTTACAACTTGGGGAAAGGTTGCTCCTGGCATGTATAGTAATAGGTAGAGGTCAAGGATGCTCCTAAATATCCCACAACGCACAAGACATCTCCCCATAGCAAAGAGCCATCAGGTCTGAAATGTCAACAGTGCTGAGGTTGAGAAACCCTACTTTGTTGTATGCCTTTGAAATTCTATCATGCATATTTGACCTTATCTAAAGTTAAATAACGTCCTAACTCACTCCCTTTTCTGAACAAAACAAGAACCTTAGAACAGTTTAATTCCAATCTCTTTCCTCCAGACTTAAATTCTATTCTGTTCAGTGTTATTACTTATATCCTATTTTAAAACCTCACAAATCAGACTCTGCGCCCGTAGCACAGTGGTTATGGTGTTGGCTGTGGGTTCGAACCCAGCCCAGGCCAGCTAAACAACAATGACAATTGCAACAAAAAAATACCCAGGCATTGTGGTGGGCACCTGTAGTCCCAGATTCTTGGGAGGCTGAGACAAGAGAATCACTTAAGCCCAAGAGTGTGACGTTGCTGTGAGTTGTGACGTCACATCACTCTACTGAGGGTGACATAGTGAGACTCTGTCTCAAAAAAATAAATAAATAAAACGTCACAAATTAGATATAATAATATTTATATTATTGTAGAAATTTTATCTTAAGTTATTATTTGGTTTGCCTACTTATTGAAGCTCAGATCATCTTTCTGAGATCATTTGTCTTCTTCCTGGGAGGTGGGGCAGGAAATAACACACACACACACACACACTATAATCTTTTTTCCTAGTTTCTGTATCACAGGTTTCTTGGTAAGTTCCCTTTTTTTTTTTTTTCTGTAAATGTCCTTGTGTTATCTTTATTATTGAAGGATAGTTTTGCTGGGTACACAAGTCTAATTTAACAGTTATTCTCTCTCAATGCTTTGGTGATTTTATCCTACTGTTTTCCACATTCCATTGTTATTGTTGAGAAATCTGTAGTCATTCTAATTATTATCTGTTTACAGGTAATCTGTTGTTTCTTTCTGCCTGTCTTACTTTTCTGTCTTTTTTTATATTTCAGATTAATATGAGGGTACAAACCATTAGGTTATATAATTTACATATGATGGGTGAATATCAGAATTGTAATTGTGTCCTAAACCAGGGAGTGTGCCATAAATCCATGCATTGTACGACTGTCTTTTTCTTCCCTACAGATGAAGTCTTGCTCTGTTGCTCAGACAAGAGTCCAGTGGGGTGATCATAGTTCATTGCAGCTCAAACTCCTGGGCTCAAGCAATCCTCACCTTAGCCTCCCAAGTAACTGGGACAACAGGCTCTGTTCATCTTTAAGATATTCTCTGTTGGCTCAGTGCCTGTAGCTCAAGCAGCTAAGGCACCAGCCACATACACCAGAACTGACGGGTTCGAATCCAGCCCGGGCCTGCCAAACAACAATGACAACTACAACCAAAATATAGTCAGGCACTGTGGTGGGTGCTTGTAGTCCCAGCTACTTGGGAGGCTGAGACAAGAGAATCACTTAAGCTCAGGCATTGGAGGTTGCTGTGAGCTGTGATGCAATAGCACTTTACCCAGGGCTACAGCTTGAGGGTTTTTTAAAAAAAAAAAAAAAAGATCTTCTCCTATAGAAAAACCATAGTTTTGTGCAAGAGGGGGATCATTTGTTGTCTCTTAATCACAAAACCCTTCCTAACGCTGCTTAGCATTTTAAAAGATTTTAGACCTTTCCTTCCTCATTCTGTGACCTTCTATATCCCGTAGATAATTCTATCATGGCACCTGCAGATAATAAGTACTATACTTATTAATTACATGTCTTTCTTTCTCATTATACTGTGAGTTCCACAAAGATAGTCTCTTTTTAGCATCTAGCATAGGCCTGGTACATAATAGATGCAGTAAATTTATGGGTCCACTACAAAAGTTTTGAGATAGACAGTGTTTTGGCCCATTATTTTCAAGAAACATAGTCCACAGTATCCTTTCTGATTCATCCATTCAAGTTTTAACTTGCTCAGCTCAGTGTTGCTGGGAGGGCTTCATTTGTTTCCTTCTCAGATTTTACATTTCCTGATTTTTGTGTATCTCAAAACTTTTGTAATGACCCATATATTTGTTGGATGGATAAATGGAGAGACACATAAGTAAATGGACGAATGCATGGTTTTCAGGTGTATATCTGGCTAAAATGCAACTGAGCTCTAACATGCTCTTTCTCATCATAGCTGGCAAGCTCCAGTGATTTTTTTTTTCTTTTTGCTAATATCACATTGACAGAGCCTACCCTGGTCTTGAGAAAAGCTACACAACAAGTCAAGAGGATATCAGCAGCAAGAGAATATGAGATGTTTCATAAAAGTGTGAGTACATTATTGGAAATTTCGTGGAGAGGTGATTTAAAAGGGAGCAGGAGATGTGGCTAGGAATCTAGCTCTGGGAAGATGTCAGACTGAGGTGGGGGGTATGTCTGATTATAGACTCAGGTGATACATTTAGGAAATTTCCTGGGTGAGTAGACACAAGTTAGTTGAGAGAGAGAATTTTTTTTTTTTTTTTTTTTTGCAGTTTTTGGCCTGGGCTGGGTTTGAACCCCCCACCTCCGGCATATGGGGCCAGCGCCCTACTCCTGTGAGCCACAGGCACCACTCGAGAGAGAGCATTTTTTCTATATTTCTCCAGGGATTTAGATCACCTGCTTAAAACTTGGGAGCCAGGGTATAATGGAAAGAGAGAACTAGCCTACTACTCTACAAAATGGGAATGTAATTCCCAGGTCATGGTGGTGTTACGAGGTTTACCTGAGACTGTGGTGATAATTAACTTTTAACAATCACTCATTCTATTGTCAGGCACTAGAATTCAGCCTTCTACAGGCACCATATTTTATTTTACTGTCACAGTCCTCTGAGATAATTCCTACAGTCATTCTCCAGTTTATTACTGAGGAAAGTGATGCTGAGAACAGGTAATTACTAAGTCCAGGGTCAAGAAATAAATAAGTGATAAAGCCAAGCCTTGCATACAGATCTGTCTGGCTCTGAGCCTAACTTTTTTTTTTTTTTTTTAAACACAGGGTTAATAATAGCTACTATTTACTTAGCACTTTTTTTTTTTTTTTTTTTTAGAGACAGAGTCTTACTTTGTCACCCTCGGTAGAGTGCCATGGCATCACAGCTCACAGCAACCTCCAACTCTTGGGCTTAGCTGATTTTCTTGTCCCAGTCTCCCAAGGAGCTGGGACTACAGGTGCCTGCCACAACACCCAGCTATTTTTTTTTATTGCAGTTTGGCCAAGCTGGGTTCAAACTCGCCACATTTGGTATATGGGGCCGGTGTCCTACTCAGCCACAGACACCGCCCCTACTTAATACTTTTTATAGGCAGTGTCATGATGGTCATGGCAAGCAGAATTCATGCCCATTTTATTCCAAGAAAAAAACTGAAGCTCAGAGAATCAGAGCATTGCTGAAGCTGGAATTAGAATTAGAATTCCTGGCTATCAACTCCAAAGTCTTCTGTGAACCATCATACGTGGATTATACTACCCCTCAAACATATCTTTTAAAATCTAGTTTCCCAAAACAAAATACCTAAATGGTCACATCTTCTGTAGATAAAGACCTGTTATTTACCTAATACATTTAACCACTTTCTATAAAGTTTCTTGTCTGAAGGAGACTGGCAGCATTACTATTCATAGTAATGCTAATTAACCTTCAACTATTTGTATAGCACATAAGAATGAGGCTGACTTCTTAACCACTGAGCTTTGCCTCCACCACAGTACCCAGCACCAGGAGGGCACTAGATTCATGCTCTCTCCTCTTCTTCTTGCCTCCCCTAACTTCTTCCTACAAAACTCAGTGGATAGTAATTTGTATCACTGGAATCTTCAGTCCTGTTAAGTGGGCAGAGGCCCTGGGGCTAGCAAGGGAGTTAAGCCACAGAATCTGGGGCAAGTACAGTGAGGGTTGTAGATTTCATCAACCTTCTACATTTCTCCATATGTATTACCATGGCCTATTTCCCCTTAACATTTGGCAATGACACTTTTGAAAAGTAACTGGGCATTGTAGAAAAGCCAGGCAGACATGGGTTCAAATCTTTTTTTAAAGACAGAGTTTTGGCTCGGCGCCTGTGGCCACCTAAGGTGGCGGGTTAGAATCCAGCCCGGGCCCGCCAAAAAACAACAATGATGGCTGCAACCAAAAAATAGCCAGGCATTGTGGCGGGCGCCTGTGGTCCCAGCTACTTGGGAGGCTGAGGCAGGAGACTCGCTTGAGCCCAGGAGTTGGAGGTTGCTGTGAGCTGTGATGCCACAGCACTCTACCCAGGGGGACACCTTGAGGCTCTGTCTCAAAAAAAAAAAAAGCAATTTTAGGAAAAGGTAGAGGAAAATAAATCACCCTCAGCCCCAGCCAGTTCTTTTCCTGATCTGTTTCCTCTTGACTGTCTGTTACCTTTCAAATTTAGCACGTCCAAAACAGAACTTTTGGCTTTCGCACCCTACCCCAAGCTGTTCCTCCCTAGATCTTCCCACCTACGCACCTGGCTCCTAACCTCTTAGAGCCATCCTCAAAGCTTCTCTTTCTCACACCCACATCTAGTCCATCTGCAAATCCTGTCAGTTCTGCCTTCACCATACATTGTAAATTCCATCCTTTCTCACTATTGTCTGCAGTCTCCCAGTCTGGGTCCTTCTGCTCTTCCCAGCAACTGCAGGGGTGTCAGCAGCCCTTCTGCCCCTCTCCTTCCCATCACAACCAAATCTTTCATCAGTAGAAGAAATCTTAACAAACTACTCAGATTGTATGATACCCCCACTTAAAATCTGCCAGGGGCTTCCATCACACTGAGAACAAAGATCCCAGATCCTTACTGAGACCGCCATCCTTGCTCCCTCTGAAACTTCCCCTGTCCCACAAGAGCCACCTGGCCGTGTTTCTGCTCCTTGGCCACACTGAGATCATGTCTACTCCAGGTCTATTACACTTACTGTCCCCTTACCTGGAATTCCCAGACAGATCTTCCCATGGCTCCCTCCCCTCACATCATTCAGAATCTCTAGGATCCCACCTCCCCAGGCAGCCTTCCCTGACCACCCCCAGGAACATAGTCCCATCATCCCTACCACACTCGGCCCCCCTTTGCTACCAGATTCTTATTAATCTCCATAATATCATATTATTCTTTTATTTGTTGATTTGAGATGTTTATTTATTGATTTATTTGAAACACAGTCTTACTTTGTTGCCCTCGGTAGAGTGCCAGGGCATCACAGCTCACTGCAACCTCCAACTCTTGGGCTCAAGTGATTCTCTTGCCTTAGCCTCCCCAAGTACCTGGGATTACAGGTGCCCGCCACAACTCTTGGCTATTTTTTGGTTGCAATTGTCATTGTTATTTTAGCTGGCCCAGACCAGGTTTGAACCTGCCAGCCTTGGTGAATGTGGCTGGCACTGTAACCACTGTGCTACGGGTGCTAAGCCTGATTTGAGATTTATTATTTTTCTCTCAACTGTAATGCAGGCTCCATGAGAGCTAGAATTTGTCTTGCTCTCTGCTAAATCTCCAGCACCTAAAACAGTACGAATACAGAGTAGTCACTCAAGAAATATTTGCTGGATGAATTAACATTTTGGTAACAACCGGTCTCTCATCCATCATTTTTAACTGATTTATTGAATATAATATATATACTACTGTCTACCTAATTTTCATCTCATTTTTAAAAAATTTACAATTATGC